ATCGATGCCCATGCCATCACGAATTGCTGGACACAGCCCATAATTCCTCTACCTCTCTCGCCCATCGTCATGAACATCGGGGAAATATCGAAACCTCCGGATGATCCAAATATATTGCAATCGTGGTTTCAGCATTGTTTTAGTGGTGATATATTTATGCTGCAATTGACAGGATTGTATTCCGCACGTCATATTTTCACTCGGGATGTACCAATTTCGTCGTATTGGGAAATTACACCTTTTATTTTTTGTGGTGGAGGATTGTCTTTCGGTTTAATTTGTGACATGCGGAATGCTTTTGAGTTGGCGCAAACTGATATCATGTTGACTATTGAAATTGTTGCTGCTTGTCTCAGCAGTTTTTTAAGTATATTCAAAGTATGATTCAGAATTTCAGGATTTATTGATATCTTCTCATTTTTTATGCTTATTTTTTAATTTCTGATCAACCGTAGATTTTTTTTTTTAATATATCGTTTTTAGGTTTTATTATTATTTAATGAATCACATATTTTGAGAAAATTAAACTTGGGAGTGAATTCGAGCTCGAGTCGCATGCATCACATTTTTATCATGAAATTATCGTCATCTCTTCGTAATTTCATGGCAAAAATTTTTTTTTAGAGTAGGATATGATTTTTTATTAAAAAAAAGGCTGATATAACAAATATTTTTTTTTGAATAATTATATAATTATATAATTAATCATTAAACAGTTTTCTAATTGAAAAAAAGTCATATATATATATATATAATCTTTTATATATCTATATTAACTTTTTTTCAGTGTGCGATTAATGATGAAAAATATTATTGGTTTAATAAACATAAATTTTTATTTATTGCCATGAAGTTGGGGAAGTGATATCGAGAAAAAGAATTTTTTGTGTGCACAGGGCTTACGAATATGGCTGTACCGACGAGAATTGTATGACTTGATTCGATTATGTTACCTCCGATGGAAGATTCAAGTATCCCGTAAGAACATAACCACATATATGGTAAAAAATGCTCGAACAATACGCCAATTCAGGATTGTTTATAGTATAGTGGTTGCAGCACTTCTTACGTCATATGTAGTACGTCCGATCAGGTCAGTTGGAGATGCATAGAAGACAGGGATATCATCTTCTGGTGATTTTCTAAAATTTCCCTGTGATTTTTTGAAGAGACACCATTGCCATCTTAATTCCATTAAAATGCATCCCATGGAAAAAAATTACGGGACTTTTACGTAATCCATCAGTAATTTTTACTGACTTTTTCGCTCAATGCTGTTTGTTGATTCCCTGTTTTGTAGATCCTTCCCCTATTTGTCTGCTCCCCCTCAAAGTTATTCCCCCACTCCGCATGTTGCGTACACCCCAGCCTTCACGTCATGCGCGTAGAGATGTGCAGTCCTCAAAAAACGCGTCCAGAATGCTGGAGTGGGGGCGATCTCTAAGTCCTAAGATTGAATTTCTCAGGAAATCGACTCAGGGTTACGTTCCACCCACACCAAAAAAATATATATTATCTACATCATATGTATATTGTACATAATATATATAATATACATTATTCGAGATATATTTAAAATATTAAAAATATATTTTAATTATAATTTTTGGATTATATTTTTCCGAAAAAAATAGTTTTCACCAGATTATAAAATATAATAATTAAAATAATATAAAAATAATAAAAAAAATCACCAGATTTGGCATCCCTGATGGCGGATGAAACAATCATGTAATGATGATAATTTGTTCCAGGGCATATCTGCTGTTTACGTTCTCCCAATCGAATGGATCCTTTCATTTCTCTGAAACTGTGTATCCCGCCCATTATCCTTTTGTATTGAACTCAGCCAGACCGTTTTTCTTATGTATAGCCTTGGAAACAGTCGGGATATTTTACTTAGGTCTTTATTGGGTGACAGCGGATGCTCTTTTCGCTCAACTCACGACACATTTATCAATTCAATTTCAAGTGATATATTCATTAATTTACCTTTTACACTGTTAGAAATTTCTTGATATATTGAATTTGCAGAATCATCTCAATTTTTATTTTCAATTTTATCTTGAAAATTTTAAAAAATTGAGGTTTTCACGTTGAATGATAATTAATTTTTCAATGAAAGATCAATTTTTATAATTAATGAAAAAATTCAGGATCAAATGTAATTGGATTTTCAAAATTTTCCCGGGTTCCCCGTGCCATATGGAATGACAAATAGAGAATTTCCAAAATATTAAAAAATCCTGAAATATATCTCAATTATAAATACATAAATATAAGATAAAAAATGCATTATACGAGATATATTTTGGATATATTTCTGCGAATATATCTCACCGCTTACACAGACGATATATTAAAGATACAATTTAGATATATTTAAAACCTAATTTTCAGATTATACAATTTTCAAGAAATATTTTTTAAAATATTAAATGAAAAATTACCAAATTTTCAACCTGAAATTTCATGTGTAATCTCCAACAGTGTACTTTAATCATTATATTCAGCGATCAATAAAAAATCGATTTATTTTCAGATCCTCGGCAATGAGATACGTCATATGCGTGCAAGTACTGAATTTTCGTCATACGATACAGAAGAAATCATGAAAGGATTAAAGAGAAATGTCGACGAGTACCTAGAATTGTTTGGGTTCGTAAATCCATTAATTTATCAATTGATAAATTACTGTCATTATTTATAATAAATTTATTTCGAATTCCACTCACAGTTTGTCTATATTGTAGATACGTTCATTCCTTGGAGAAGATCTACAACCCAATACTGTTCGCAACTGTTCTGATTAATGGCATAGATCTTTGCACCTGTCTCTATAGTCTACAATATGTACCTTGAATTTTCTGAATGGATTACAACGAATGAGTTAATTGTGATTATTTTTATCGACTGATTTTCATTCCAGCGAATAGGAGAGAGTCATTGGGGAGATGTTGGTAAAGATGCGGTACATGCCAGTGGTATTGCGTTACAGACTCTCATGTTTTGCGTATCGGCACAGCGATTAAATGAGGAGGCAATCAACAATATTAATTCATTATGATCATACATTTAAATAATTAATTGTTCATATGAAAATGTCCCTTATCGAGCTTCTATAGTTATAGAAAAAAAATATTATATTGTTTAAACCTATTGATTGGTAAAGAGGAGATTGGAAAGTCTATACTTACGATTTAGAAAAAAAGGAAATGGGGCCTTCTTCGGTGGCTGACTATTCATTGATGTAATCACTGAGTCGCTGACCTGAAATCTTCTATGTCGTTGACAGGGACCTTTTCATGTGCCCCGCTAAATATTAATTAAACTCATAATTAATTGCAGATCGCTGGAGTCAGGCAAGCAGCTTATGATTGCTCGTGGACGGACTTCAGTGCATCAATAAAAATTCTGATCTTATTAATGATGATTCAGACACAGCAGGAGTACGTCTACACAGCCTACGGTTTTATCCATTTAAATATGCCGCAAGTCACAACGGTTTGTCATTATTTTGGTTGAGTTATCCGGGAAATTATGAGATTGAATTCTCTTTTTTTTCAGATTTTTTCTGCTGCCATGAAGTATTTTACACTATTGCGAAGTATCACCTGAATATATTTTTGGCAAATATATATTCTAATATAAATATATATAAAATATCGATCCTAGATAAAAAATCCTACAACCCTCATTTTTTTAAGAGTTCTAAGAGTTGTGTCGATTATTTATAACTTACGTATTTTCAGTATGACTAAAATAACAGTAAATATGACGGCAACTAATTCAATGGACAACACAAAATCCGTCTGTGCAGTACAATATACATTACGCGCATCAAATCGACGGTATCGAAGAAGTTCGAATTGTGTTTCAGAGCCAAAAATATTGTCATACCTGTGAAGATAAAAAGGAGATCTAAGAAATCAATCTTCTTTAGCCTAATTATTCATTTTATTTAAATAGATCCGATGATATAACAATCCATTCAATGGGTTTCTGCAGTGGATTTCGCGAGTTCTCTTCATGAAACACTTCGTAAAAGCGTGAAGAATCTCATAGCTGTACTAAATATCTGAAAATCCCAAATGTATCAATAATTCGATATTTCAATAATAATCATAACGAGTTATTGCCAATAATTTCTCATTTATCAAGATTTGTTTACGAATTTCTGAGAAACGGTTGATAAAATTGATGTGAAAAAAATACATCGTTTTTATAATTTATTATCAATTGATAAATTATTAATGTCTTCATAAATTTCATGAGATTTCTTGCGTTCTCTGTGAGCTTTTCTAAAAATTCACAAAACTTCAAAAATCATCGGAAATTCAGGAAAATAGACGCATGGCGATCTGATCCAGAGGCTTTCAGAAATTTCCAAGAAGACCGTGGGGAAGGGAAAAATATCGACAATAAATCCTTTAACAAATATCCGGAACATTAAAAAGTCGAACGTACCACAGTTACTTGAGGCATATTCACATTGAAGAATCCGTATGCAGAGTACACGTATTCACGCTCTGTATGTATCATTAAAACCAGAATCATTGTTTTTGTTGCCATATTAAAATTCACCCAAGAACACTCATAAATGGCTTGGCGAAATCCATTAATCTGGAATGGCAAATTAAATTTTCTTCATTTCACTGCTTAAATATAATAATGCACAACTAGAATAATCCCCAAAAAATGATGGATTGATTCATAAAATTACGGAATTAATCCTGATTTTAATTAATTTCATTCAACAATTTCAAGGAGAAAAAATGAAAAAACCCTGTATTTTTGAACGCTTGACTAACGACTGACTCTTCACCTCATCATTTAAACGTTGGGCATACGAGCAGAATAAAAAAGTCTGCAGAGCGATCGTGGTGGCATGAGTAGTATTTTTAACGGCATCCCTCCAATTATTTCTCGCGAGTCTCTGTAAAAATATGAATTCAGTCAAATAGAATGGCGAAATAAAAAATTGGAGATCATATCACAGATAATGAAATACATATTGCAGACTGTATAAACAGGTACATAAATTAAGTCCATTGAGTAATATAGTAGCAAAAATTATCGGATTATACCATTCCTCCACTGCATGAACGTATCTGAAATATTTAAATACTGTAGCAATAAACTGCCTTTCATTAGAATAAATAAAATACTAACGATAACAATTCAACATGTTCCCGAATAATTCTCTTCAACTGTCTGATTATTTTCTTAATACCCAACGGTGTTGATGTCGGTGTTATCTCTATCCTCCGGATCTCACCCGAAAGCACCTGAAATATTATTAAATTCATATCAACATTGACTTTTTTACTAGACAAACTCAAATACATCTTACGTTGAATTGAATCGCAAAATGTGTCGTCAATTGAGCGAACAGACAGTCCGCCGCTATCCACCAGAGATCCAAAAAATATAATCCACAGTTTTCCCATGTTGTCAATAAAAAATATTGAATAGGGGTATTTAAAGTGAATGGATAATGCGCGGGGTAGACAGTCTCCGAGAAATCGAAAGAATCATTCGTCTGAGCGAGATGAAATTTGAGATAGAGCCTATAAAAAAATGATAATAAATATAAAAAAAAAGACATTGAAATCGATATCTCTTGTAAATCAAGACACTCTAAAAAGAAGGATCCGATTATAAAAGATATAATTAAAAGATCCACCTACTGATCTATAAAAAAAATCTCTCGGTATTTTTGGTATTATTGATATAAAAATATTTCGTAATAAAAATATAATTGCATAACTACTGTAAGATTATCATTAATAAGATTCTGACTGTGAGGCTCTTCATGGCTTCATCATGAAGACAGAAGATGAAGAACTTTTTTTTAGAGTGCAATATCGTGTAGTTGAATTTACACATAGGGACGTAAGTTATAAGAACCCACGGTACCGACGACAGCTACTGTGTAACATATCCTGAAGAGCCGGGTATTCCTGGCGATTCCAATGGAGTCCTCTCGTAGATGATTACGTGATGACAGGATATTCCATCTTCGATGGCAAACCGTCAACAAGTTGTAAAGCTCTTTTCGATGGAACCACAGCCGATACCCCTAAACGTACGTAATTATTACAATTTTTCGTATTCGTGCAATAAAAAAAAGAGCAGTAATTAATTAAATTTCATTATCATAAGATTTTTTCATCATTTCCGGTTTCATCTGATCATCGAAATTTTTACTTCTTGATATTTCTGTAGAAATTTACAAAAAAATCTATTGAAGAGCAAATTTTCTCTGTACGGTCCTAATAACGATAATAATAATCCTGATATAAAAAGGAGAAAGGAAGAAGAATATAAAAATATTAAAATATAAAAAGAAGAATATAAAAAGGACGAAAGAATATAAAAGGAGAAAGAAGAAAGGAAATCGATCCTGAAATATCTGAAATGGCTGAAAGTAAAAATAAGTAAATAATTTACCCGAGTCTCTCTATACATATAATCTCTATATAAAATATATTTCATTTATATATCAGATATATCCCGAATATATACAATATATACACTCACATGTATTCAGCGTATATCCGATGTATTGCATTTTCACCCGAAATACATGTGCGTATAATTAATATATATTTCGAATATATTCCGTTTTCATATATTAATTAAGGATATGCTTAATATATGAAATAATATGAAATAATATATAGTATATAATATATCAATAATATATAAATAATAGATAATATATAATAATATATAATAGATAATATATCAATAATATATAATAATGCTTAACATATGAATTAAGTGCCCCAATGAATAAATGACATACTTTAAATACAGCTAATGCTACAGTAAATACAGCTGCAGCCACTTCAATGGACATCATAAAATCAGTCTGCGCCGTATCATATACATTACGTATATCAAAAATCACAGCAACAGTTATTGTTCCTAATCCAATGATAAACGGAATAGTTTCCCAATAATGCCACTGAGGTTTATCATCCTTAAAAATAGCACCCATTGAATATAATCCCATGCATTGTAGGATAAATACATCACCACCAAGGCATTCTCTAAAATGAGATCGTGTCGATGTCATATCTTCCATGTTTCATAGTTAAACTTTTTTTTTTTAAGAACTCTTGTTTGAAACTCAAGAAGATCAGAATCTACTCACGACTATTTTCATTCGGGAGAGGATTCACAATGGTCGTTATCGATCCCAGTAATTTCCGGATGATATTACATGCCAATTTTGCGGTAATACCCCGGTTATTATTCCAAGGGAAGAATCATTCATATTGGATAACGTCGATAGTCATTAATACTTGAATAATCCTTTCTGATGCTCTAGAGTCTCTCGAGGTATTCAGAAGTAATTGATCGATCTATGGAACGAGTTTCTGCACATGGGGGGAATTAACTCAGTGGAAATGTTGTGGTCACGGAAGAAAATGATTACTCGTCTGCAATTTCTCTACACAGAGGAAAATTATGGAAAGAATTTGAAAGCATGGGAAATTTATGATGTGACGTGAAAACTCTTGAACGTAATAATTCGTGAAATTCCGGTTGAATTAATTTTTTTGGAGCCTTCAGAATAGTTT